AAATATTTCCTAATTTAAAAATAGAGCAAAAAAGCCGGGCGCGGTGGCTCACGCCTGTAATCCTAGCACTCTGGGAGGCTGAGGCGGGCGGATTGCTTGAGGTCAGGAGTTCGAAACCAGCCTGAGCAAGAGCAAGACCCCGTCTCTACTATAAATAGAAAGAAATTAATTGGCCAACTAATGTATATATATATAAAATTAGCCGGGCATGGTGGCGCATGCCTGTAGTCCCAGCTACTTGGGTGGCTGAGGCAGAAGGATTGCTTGAGCCAGGAGTTTGAGGTTGCTGTGAGCTAGGCTGACGCCACGGCACTCCATCTAGCCTGGGCACAAGCGAGACTCTGTCTCAAAAAAAAAAAAAAAGAGCAAAAATGGGAGGAAAAACAGCATTGTCACACAAAAAGAAACTTTAAAGAACTATGGTTTAGGCCGGGCGCGGTGGCTCACACCTGTAATCCTCGCACTCTGGGTGGGAAGCCGAGGCGGGCAGATTGCTCAAGGTCAGGAGTTGGAAACCAGCTTGAGCAAGAGCAAGACCCCATCTCTACTTATAAATAGAAAGAAATTAATTGGCCAAGTAATACATATAAAAAAACTTAGCCGGGCATGGTGGCACATGCCTGTAGTCCCAGCTACTCGGGGGGCTGAGGCAGGAGGATCACTTGAGCCCAGGAGTTTGAGGTTGCTGTGAGCTCGGCTGATGCCACGGCACTCACTCTATCCTGGGCAACAAAGCGAGATTCTGTCTCAAAAAACAAACAAACAAACAAACAAAAACTATGGTTTACACCCAGCTAAGCACAGTGTTTATTATATATCATAAAGACCCTAAATTCAAATCCTTGAAATGTTCATTTAGAAGACTTAAATTTACAGATATTGAAGTATTGAATTTTATTTCTTTTTTTCTTCTTTTTATGGAGGGCCTGGGGGGTTGGACTACAACTTGATCATGATGGACTTTGTCTTCTGTTATAGTATTTGACAGGTCGGTGGATTGGTAAGTAGATTAAGATCACTTTTATTTTGTGGTGCTGCTGATAGTCTGAGTATATTTTGTATTCTCACACATCTGACTCACGTCCGGTTGATTGTGGCATGGCTGGATAATGTCTGCGCTCCCAGGAGAGCCCATGCAGAGCCTCCGCGCATCAAAGAACAGCATCAACAAAAAATTAACTCCAGTAGCTCTTAGATTTTTTTATTTTCCGAGTTATGCTTATCACCTTCTCCATTTATCCAAAACATACTAATCCTTCAAGGTCACCCAAAGTCCCACTCTCCTGCCAAGTCTCTTGACTAACTCCAGACAGCAGTCACGGGAGCTGTTGGTGCGGTATCAAAAGTGCCTCGGGGCGGAGGCGGGCGCGGCGGCTCACACCTGTAATCCTGGCACTCCGCCTGAGCAAGAGCAAGACCCCGCCTCTGCTAAAAATATATAGAAAAAGTGATCCGGGCATGGTGGCGCGTGCCTGTAGTCCCAGCTACCCTAGAGGCTGAGGCAGGAGGGTCGCTTGAGCCCAGGAGTTGGAGGTTGCTGTGAGCGAGGCTGACGCCACGGCACTCTAGCCCAGGCAACAGAGTGAGAGTCTGTCTCAAAAAAATAAAAAATGCCTCCAAAGCCGAGATGGCCCAGTGTGGTCTAAGTTCACATCACCTGCTCTGCACTCACTGGACTCTGGGATTATTACTCTGTTGTGTTCTTTGAAAACCCCAAACTTGTTTCCTCCTCAAGGATTTTGCATTCATTGGTCCTTCTGTGCTATATGTCCTTCTCCAAGCTCTGCACGGTTGGCTGTTTCTTGTCATTTGGATCTTGGTTCCAATGTCACTCTCTCAACGCGGCTGTCCCTGACCTACACAGGAACCTCCCGTCACACTCTCACCCAGCCCCATTCCCTTTAGGGCCCTTACACCTCTGTGGAACTGCGTGGCTTTGTTATCTGATTACTTGCTTGCTGCCTGGCCCCACCCTGCGCACCCCACCTCATTTCATTGTGCTCATTGCTTAGAAATTAAGACACGACACATGCCTCAGTGTTGTACCAGCTATGCTATTTGCTACCCTTTTGATAGTGGATCCTTTTTTTTTTTTTGAGACAGAGTCTCACTCTGTCGCCCGGGCTAGAGTGCTGTGGTGTCAGCCTAACTCACAGCAACCTCCAACTCCTGAGCTCAAGCCATCCTCCTGCCTCAGCCTCCTGGGTAGCTGGGACTACAGGCATGCGCCACCATGCCCGGCTAATTTTTTCTATACATTTTTAATTGTCCAGCTAATTTCTTTGTATTTTTAGTAGAGACGGGGTCTCATTCTTGCTCAGGCTGGTCTCAAACTTCTGAGCTCAAGCGATCCTCCCGCCTCGGCCTCCCAGAGTGCTAGGATTACAGGCATGAGCCACCTCGCCTGGCCTGGATTCCCTTGTTTTTTGCCCTCTTCCATACCTCATTTCCTCACTAATAGTCCCGTAACATAGCTAACATAAAGGTTAAGTGAGAAAATACCTGTCACATGGCTAGAATGGTGCTTGGCACTCAGTGGGCACTCAGATATTTTTTGAGTAAGTGGATAATGCCCTGATTTTTTAAATAGCATTTCTTGCATCTAAGCCTCGCCAACAAGGTTATAAACTCCTTGAGGCCTCCCATGACCTTGCAGAGCTCCAATTATAATTTAGCAAGGTAGAAAGAAGGCACATAGTAGGTGGTCAGTAAATACTGCTTGAAATACCTGAACTACTTATTGTAGATGTCTCAGAAACAATGTTCTGCATTCCTGTGTCAGGGCAAAATCATACAAGAAGGACACCGCGTCACTTGCTGGCTCCGCTTCATCAGCCCACCCACCCCACACACTTCAGCTTCCGTGTGTGGTTAGGAATGCAACAAAAGGGCATTGTTTGAATTGCACCCACGCACAAAACTTAGTTTGCTGAATTTTAAAATTAAATCGTCTTCTGACTCATATTTATATGTTCATGATGTAATGTGCTTCAGGAAAATATTTCCTTATCTTAAAGATCAAAGTGGTCCCCAAATGTAAAAGCATGTTGTGTTCTCCGTCGGAATGATTATTACATTTTTTGCATCATTGAAAAAGTCAATAAACAGCTGTTTGACTTTTCGGTTATCTCAAGATCTGATGAATTATATTTTCAAAAGGAGGTGATTTTTAAAATACTTTGCTTTTCAATAGGTAATGCCCGCATATGGTACAAAATTTGAAAACTACAAAATAAAATATAGTAAAGGTTTCTTCCCCAGAGGCCGTCAGTGTTTCTAGTTTCTTAAGTATTTTTCAGAAATACTGTTTACATTTGTATCTAGGTGATGATGTATATTTTCCCTCATGTACTGTAGCACACAGTATATACAATTCTGCATCTTACTATTGTCACCTAATAGCATGTTTTTCAGAGATATTTCCATATCAATATATAGAGAGCTAGTCTGTTAATTTTGTTTATTTATGTAATTTACATATTTAATGATATTTTTTTAGAGATATATTTTTTTTTAGAGATAGGGTCTTGCTCTGTCAACCAGGATGAAGTGCAGTGGCACCATCATAGCTCACTACAGCCTCAAATTCCTGGGCTCAAGCGATCCTCCTGCCTCAGCCTCCCAAGTAGCTGGGACTACAGGCACATGCCATCATGCCTCATTTTTCTATATATTTTTAGTTGTCCAGCTAATTTCTTTCTATTTTTAGTAGAGATGGGATCTTGCTCTTGCTCAGGCTGGTCTTGAGCTCCTGAGCTCAAGTGATCCTCCTGCCTCAGCCTCCCAGAGTGCTGGGATTACAGGCGTGAGCTCATTTTTAGTCTTACAAAAACCCTGCGAATAGGTCCTGTTATAATCTACCTTGTATAGATGAGGAAACTCAGGGTGGTTACACAACTTATCTAAAATCCAAAAGCTAAAAGCTGGTGGTAGACTCTTATTTAAAAACTGGAGTAAAAACCAGGTTTCTGTGATCTTGGAGCCAATTCCTTCTAACCTATCTCCATCTTGAGAGATCTAATTTTTCTCCCTTTTCCTGGCCTGTCTAGTGTCAACGAGGAAGAAACTAAAGCAGAAAATATGATTTAAAGCCTTTAGTTGGGCCAGGCGCTGTGGCTCACGCCTGTAATCCTAGCACTTTGGGAGGCCGAGGCGGGCGGATTGCTCAAGGTCAGGAGTTCGAAACCAGCCTGAGCAAGAGCGAGACTCCGTCTCTACCAAAAATAGAAAAAAATTAATTGACCAACTAAAAATATATATATACAAAAAATTAGCCGGGCATGGTGGCGCATGCCTGTAGTCCCAGCTACTCGGGAGGCTGAGGCAGCAGGATAGCTGAGCCTAGGAGATTGAGGTTGCTGTGAGCCAGGCTGACACCACGGTACTCACTCTAGCCTGGGCAACAAAGTGAGACTCTGCCTCAAAAAATAAAAAAATAAAATAAAGCCTTTACTTGGCTGGGCGCGGTGGCTCACGCCTGTCATCCTAGCTCTCTGGGAGGCCAAGGCCAGTGGATCACTCAAGGTCAGGAGTTGAAACCAGCCTGAGCAAGAGTGAGACCTGTCTCTACTAAAAATAGAAAGAAATTACTTGGCCAACTAAAAATATATAGAAAAAATTAGCCGGCATGGTGGCGCATGCCTGTAATCTCTGCTACTTGGGAGGCTGAGGCAGGAGGATCACTTGAGCCCAGAGTCTGAGGTTGCTGTGAGCGAGGCTGATGCCACAACACTCTAGCTCGGGCAATAGAGTGAGAGTCTGTCTCAAAAATAAATAAATAAATAAAAGTGAAAGAAAATACAGCCTTGCCTTGAGCCAGAGTGATGACAGCTGCCCAGAAGTCTCAGACCCAAGTGACTTCGGATATGAGCTCCATTTGGTCTTTGTCACAGCAAGTTTTTAAAGGCACAAAGGGGGCTCCGGGAGTGGGCCACTACAACGTTGATTGTCAGGAACCCTCACTGGCTTACAGGAATAACTTTCTCTTCTTTTTTTCTGAGGCAGAGGCAGTTCTCCGTCACACACCGAACACTACGTGCTCAGCAGAAAGGCTGACATTGTCTTCCTGCAGTACTCACGTGTGCTTTCCGCTTCAGTCAGCATGGTCCCTTCCATCTGAGTGCCTTCATTCACGGATTTCAGCTCCCTCCCGGAGGCGACTTATCCAGCGCGGCCCTAACAGCACAGCTGACACTCTGAGGACGGCTCGGGCAGACGCTGGCTCCTGCAAACTTTCATATGCGGCTTTAAAACAGGCACGGTATCATTAGCCCCGCTTCGTAGAACGAGAAATTGAATAATCTTTCCATTAATTGGAAAGGCTAATGTGTCCGGGCTCACACGACTGACCGACACCCAAGGCAGGACAAGCCCTCGCCAGGCCTCAGCGCTGCCGTGTGACCGCCGGGTCACGCTGGCTCTGCTCTGTGGCCGTGGCAGCTGTCCAGGTGCGGCCGGGAGGACGCGGCGGCACCGTGGGTGTCGTGGGAGAAGGGACTGATTGCGGCAGTCAGACCTTGCAAAACTGAGACAAGCTGGAGAGAAGGGAGCAAGCCCGGACCACCTGCGGATTAGAGAGTTGAGCAGGCCGCCTGCACACTACCGGCGCGGAGCCCTGCAGCCTGGATCCGCCCACGGGTCCCAGGGAGCCGGGCTCCGGAGCTCGCCGCTCCCGGGTGCTTGGGTAGGGTTAGTGCAGGAAGATGCGGGAGGTCCAGAGAATCAGCTTCACTAGCCCTTGCCGACAGGTGCGGGGCCGTCGCGCGTGCAGGGCAGGGAGGCAGGCAGCTTCACTAGCCCTCAGCGACAGGTGTGGGGCCGTCATGGCGTGCAAGGCAGGGAGGCAGGCAGCTTCACTAGCCCTCAGCGACAGGTGTGGGGCCGTCGTGGCGTGCAGGGCAGGGAGGCAGGCAGCTTCTGGAGGACCTGCGCAGCTGACAGACGGTGGCCGTGGCTTGGCAAGGCCAGCACTCCGTCAGAGCCCGCGACGCTCAGGTCTGGTCAAGTCAAGGCCAAATCTTGGACCTCTCGCTGGTGGACTGTGGCTCACGGATCAAACAAGACAGCCACTCTCAGCATGTCCGGGCAGGCTTCAGCCCGTGGGAAGCCGGTTTCCCGGGTCCCCTCCTTGTTGCAGATAGTGCTCTCCCAGTCACCCTGAGAGAATTTGCGCTCACCCTGTGAGCCTTCCCTTCTCAGGAGCAGGTTTTTTGGGGGTTTTGTGGTTTGTTTGTTTTTTCTTTTGAGACAGAGTCTCACTCTGTTGCCTGGGCTAAGTGCCATGGCGTCAGCCTCACTCACAGCAACCTCAAACTCCTGGGCTTAAGTGATCCTCCTGCCTCAGCCTCCAGAGTAGCTGGGACTACAGGCATGCGCCACCATGCCCGGCTAATTTTTTCTGTATATTTTTAGTTCTCCGGCTAATTTCTTTCTATTTTTAGTAGAGATGGGGGGGGAGGGGTCTCGCTCTTGCTCAGGCTGGTCTCGAACCCTTGAGCTCAAACCATCCTCCCACCTCAGCCTCCCAGAGTGCCAGGGTCACAGGCGTGAGCCCCTGCGCCCGGTCTCAGGAGCAGGGTTGCTAGCAGTGCCCTTACCTGCTTCAGTGCAGGCAGACTGCTTTTGCTGTCGAGACAGGGAGATGCTGAAGGCCTTTAGAAGGTAAGATGCACAGTTGGAAGGAAGAATGGCACAGCAGGAAGGTGCTCGGGCTGTTAAGTCAGACCTCACTTGAAATCTCCACTTTACTACCTACCTCATGAGCCTAAGCAAATTGTTTAAGTTCTTTGACCTTGGCTTCCTTTCCTGTAAAATGAAATTAATAGTACTTGCTATCAGATTAAGTGGAATAATATCTGTAGTTTCTGGTACATCGTAAGCACTCCATAAATGACAACGAATGATCATAATCAGGCTGAAGGCTTAGGGACACCACGACGCCTGGCAATGAGCTTAAAGGTTCATGGCATAAGCCAGCACACGCTTACAAAGGCAGCTGTGTGTTGACCAAGTGCCCTTCAACAGTGCGGTCCTCTGGAGCCTCCTAGCCCTCTAGTGAAGCCCTGAATCTGAAGTCAGATGGTGACCTAAGCCACATGCCGGGCCTGCAGCAGGAGTAGGAGCACTGCATCAGTGCTTAGATATCTGCTTGCCGTAACCGTGGTGACCCGGTAACTGTGGTGACCCGGCAGGCCCCAGGGGAACGGGTGCAGTCAGCGTCAGAAGTGCATGTTCTGGAGGCCCTGTCTCCCACCCTGTCCCTCCCTTGTGCTGTGTCTTCCACTCTGTTCCTCTGGCCCACGCGTCAGGAGAGTTCCTCCTGAAACAGGGACTATGGGGACAAAAGGAGGAAGAAAATCTCAGTTTACCCAAAATGCCCCCGATGTGTGTGCCCTCTTCTGCCCCGGCACACATCAGCCTGTGTCTGTCCCTTCCACGCCGCCTCTTGGGGCCCTGGCAGAGGGCTCTGCCTTGAGTCTGCGGTCCGGCCTTGGCAGCTGCGGGGGATGGGGCGGTGGGGGTGCCCCTAGTGCGCCAAGTCAGGCAGCGCGTGTCCCTTTGACAGCCTTAGCTTAGTCCCAGAAACCAGTCTCCGTCCTCAACACACAGAGCTGTTTCTCATTAAGAAGCAGGAGTAGGAGGGAGAGGGAGGGCGGTGAGGTGGCGAGGGTTGGGAGGGAGGTGATGAGCGGGAGACAGAGGCAGAGAGAGCCTGAGACATGGACATTTAACTGTCTGCAAGCTGGATTGGATCTGGAATTTCCTTGAAATTGCATTTCAGCTGCTTCCTGTCATCAGACCCTTGTCATGGTTTTCTGTTTGTTTGTTTGTTTTTTTAGACAGAGTCTCACTCTGTTGCCCAGGCTAGAGTGCTGTGGTGTCAGCCTAGCTCACCACAACCTCAGACTCCTGGGCTCAAGCGATCCTCCTGCCTCAGCCTCCCGAGTAGCTGGGACTACAGGTATGTGCCACCGTGCCTGGCTAATTTTTTATTTATTTTTAGTTGGCCAACTAATTTCTTTCTATTTTTAGTAGAGACGGGGTCTCACTCTTGCTTAGGCTGGTCTCCAACTCCTGACCTCAAGCAGTCCTCCCGCTTCAGCCTCCCAGAGTGCTAGGATGACAGGTGTGAGTCACCGCACCCGGCCCCAAACTGTCTTTTTAAAGTGGCTGCGCCATTTTGCATTCCCACCTACAACAAACGAGAGTTCCTGTTGTTCCATGCCCTCACCAGCACTTGGCCTTGTCAGTGTTCTGCGTTTGGCCATTCGGATAGGTGTGGAGTGGTGTCTTGTTTTAATTTGTAATTGACAAATGACTTATAAAAATCTTTTCATGTCCTCATTTGCTGTCTGTATGTCTTCTTTAGTGAGGTGTCTGTTAATGTCTTTGGCTTATTTTGTTGAGTTTTTGGAGTTCTTTTTTGAAGTATATTTGAGTTTATAATGAAAACTAGTTTTAAGTAATTCTGCTTTGAGGCAAATTTCTGAGGTGTGCATTGCCAGGATTGAGAAAAGTCTTCCCCCTTTTCTGGCCGGGCTCTGGAGACCACCTGGCGGGGCTTGTAGATGAGGAGGTCTTGCCCTCCTAACAGGCGAGGAGGTTCGAGGAGGCCATCCATAGGTGTCGGAATCCTGGAGCCGCCCAAGAGCCGCCCACAATTAAGACTCCTTATCAAGCTTCCCTTCCCTCCTCCTTTCCAGCTTCTCTCTCCCTCTGTGTCTCTCGTTCACTTTGTGTTTGGCGCTCTCACCACCACAGACCGTCTCCAGCACAGCTGAGATTCCAGGACGATTGCGGGCTGCAGCCTTCCATTCGTCGGAAGGAAAGAGGAGTGAAGGGCCGACACGCACGTCGGCCTCCCTCGCCCGTTCACCTGCCTCTTCTCTTACTAAGCTTTTCTCCTCTTCTGACAAACACTCCCTAAGGGACACAGAATTTCAGTCTCAGTCACACCTCCTCCTTTTCTGGTCGTATCCCCCCCCACTCTCATTTCTTGGCACCTGCAGAATGTCATTTGCAGCATGTAGCAACTCACATGCCTGTGCCCAAGGGCCACGCGGCTCCCTCCTGTCCTCCCCGCGCCTCCCCTTGCAAGCCTGTGCTTGATTAGAGGCACGTAGGGATCGCGTGTTGGGCAGCACGCCAGTGGTGACCTGCAGGGAGGCTGAGCAAGGCCCAAACATGGCTCTTTCTACCCACCCTTCCAAAAGCCAAGCATCTCACCCGAGAGCACGTTTACGAGCCGGGCCCGTGCGCCTGCCGAACAGCAATGGCTCAGTGGCGCTGACGCTTTGTCTCCTTTCCTTGCAGCTCCTCTGCAAGTGACCTCTCCAGTTACGGCCACGCTCGTCTGAGGCGCAGCCCCGACCACGGCAGCTCCCAAGGGAGCATGGAGAGCCTGGAGCCCAGCGGGCACTACCCACCCTGCCACCTCCTCTGCCCCGCCAAGCCCACCAGCAGCATCGACCAGCCCGGCCGCTGCCACAGCAAGAGAGACTCCGCTTACGGCTCGCTCTCCACCAGCTCGAGCGTCCTCGAGCGGCCTCCCCCCGGCGTCTCTGGCCGGGAGCACGCGGGCTCTGCGGATGCTGCTGCTGCTCGAGGCGGCCTGCTAGAAGGGCCGAGGCAGGCGGACATCCGCTACATCAAGACGGTCTACGACCCCAGGCAGGGAGTGTCGGCCGAGTACGAGGTGGACTCCACGGCCCTGCTGCTTCCTGGCAGGGAGGCCCGGGCACCAGCAGGCGGGCAGGGCTGTGATAAATGGTATAATGTCCCTCGGGTCAAGGGAGCGCCGCCGCCACCCTGGAGCCACCCTGGAGGTCCCTTGCCTCCTGAAGCGGGTGCACCCCTGCCTCCAGCTCGGAGTGACAGCTACGCAGCCTTCCGGCACCGCGAGCGGCCCAGCTCCTGGTCCAGCCTCGATAAGAAACGCTTCTGCTGGCCTCAGGCAAACTCTTTGGGTGCCCCGAAGCCTCCGCTGCTGGAGCAGCAGCTGCACAGGGTGCCCGAGGGCAGTCCCGAGAGCAGCCCCCCGGCGGCCCAGCCCGGCCGGCCTCTGCTGCCCACTGGCGTCTACCCGGTACCTTCCCTGGAGCCACACTTTGCCCAGGTGCCCCGGCCCTCCGCGGGCACTAACGGAACGGTCTATCCCGCGCTGGCCAGGGAGAGTGGTTACGCGGCCCCTCAGGGAGCCCACGGCGGGGCGCCTGCCTTGGGTGAGGATGGGAACCAGAACGCATCTAGCAGGCCCGGGTCTGCCCTCCACCAGCCCCTGGCTCGCAACTCACCGCGCGCCCCAGTGGAGAGCACACCGGGAACTGTAGCCAGGTGCGTGTCCTCCAAAGTCCATTTTCCTTCAGGGCCTGAAAACGAGGAGGCTACCCCCCTGAAGAGGCATCTCCCGCCGCCTCAAGGCAGCAGCCCGCGCCCCGTCAGTGAGAGGAAGAGCACCCACCGCAGCGAGCCGGGCTCTGGCCACCACGGCCCCACGGCCCCTCAGGCTCAGGCCTGGCACGCCGGCGAGGACAAGAGACTTTCCAGGCCCTCCGAGCCCCGTGAGGGCGACGTCCGGGGAGACCACAATGCCAGCCTCCCGCGGAGGCAGGAGAGAGGCCTGGGCCAGAGCCTGGCAAGCCACTGCGGCAAGGCCAAGTCAGCCTTCTCATCTCTCCAGAACATTCCTGAGAGCCTGAGGTGGCAGAGCAGCCTGGAGCTCGGAGGTGGAGCCCAGGAGGGGTCCCCTGGGGGCAGTCCCAGCTGTGCCAGGGACCCTGGGAGGAAAGCGGCTCCTGCCCACGGCGGCCGTGGGGACCAGCAGGCTTGCTGCCCGGCCCCGCAGCGCAGGGCCAGCGCCTCTTCCCACAGTTCAGACCCAAGGTGCGAAGAGCTGGCCGCCCCACAGACGGCCGGTCTGGGCTGGCGGGGCCTCGGCTCGGGCAGTGCCTCGGCTCTGCAGGGCTTCCAGAACAGGAAGGCCCCCTGCTCCGTGCTGGAGAAGGTGTCTGAGATCGAGCAGCGAGAGCAGGGGAGCCAGAGCGCCCCAGGTGCGGGCAGCTGCACTTACAGCCAGAGCCACAGGCCCAGCAGGACCGCCCCAACGCCCAAGATCTCCGGAAATGACTTGGAGGAGACAAAAGCCAACATCCGTCTCTCTGAGTCAGCCGAAGCCCTAGACGGTGGGCAGCAGCACTTCAAACACTGGGAGCCGACGGCGCAGGAGGGTTCCTGGCCGCTGTGCGGCCGGCAGTGCAGGGGGGCTGCGGGCGGCGCGCGGGGGGACGGCGAGCCCCGCAGGCCGGACACCCGCCTCCTCCGCAGCCAGAGCACCTTCCAGCTCTTCGGGGAGGAGGCCGAGTGGCCGCACGACAGGCCTGGCACCCCTGAGTCGCCCCTGCAGGACGCGCCCCTCAGCCGCGCCTACCGCAACAGCATCAAGGGTGCGCAGTCCCGCGTCTTGGGGGCCACCTCCTTCCGACGCCGAGACCTAGAGCTGGGCGCGCCCGCAGCGTCGAGGCCGTGGCAGCCTCGGCCCTCCTCGGCCCACGCGGGGCTGCGCAGCCCGGAGGCACCGGCGGCCTTGTCCTCCCCGCACACGCCGCGGGAGCGGCGCAGCGTGACCCCGGCTGCCGCGGGGCCCGCGCCTTGCGCCTCCCGCAGAGGGGCGCGCCGGCGCCTGACCCCTGAGCAGAAGAAGCGCTCCTACTCGGAGCCCGAGAGGATGAACGAGGTGGGGGTCTCGGAAGAGGCCGAGCCGGACGCGCAGAGGACCGGGCCGCGCTCCGCGGACAGCCGCGCCGTGGAGCAAAGGGCGCGCGCGGCGCTCGGCCTGTCGGGGCCCGAGCTCAGGCAGTTCCAGCAGAGCGCGCTGGCTGCCTACGTGCACCGCAAGACCGGCCAGCGGCCCGCCTCCGCAGGGGGCTGCGCCTTCCTCCAGCCCGGCCTCCCCTCGGCCTCCAGCCTGAGCTCGCTGCGGGAGCCCAGCCTGCAGCCCCGCAGGGATGCTGCGGTCCCCGAACCCGGGCGGGCTCCCCGGGATCGCAGCAGCTCTTTTGCGGGGGACCGCCTTGAGGAACGATGGTGCTGGGACCCCCAAACCCCGAGGGAGCTGCTCAGTGGAGCTAATGTGCCAAGAGGCACCCAGAGGGTAGAAGGGACCCCTGGGGAGCCGTCCTCCTGGGGGGCTGCGGCCAGGAGGGCCGGGAAGTCCATGTCAGCTGAGGACCTGTTGGAGCGCTCCGATGTTCTGGCGGTGCCTGTCCACGTGCGGTCCAGGTCGTCTCCCACCGCGGACAAGAAGCGCCAGGTATGTGCAAGCAGCAGGTGCTGGCCAAGGCCTGCTTCGGCCCTGGAAGCTTTAGTGGGTCTCCCCCCGCCCCCACTCCTGTTCGGGTTTTCCTTGCAAATGCAGAAAAGTAGCATTTGTTTTCAGGAGTTGATTTTTTTTTTCTTTTTTTCTTTCATTTTTTTGAGACAGAGTCTCACTCTGATGCCCAGCTAGAGTGCCGCGTTGCATCAGCCTCGCTCACAGCAACCTCAAACTCCTGGGCTCAATCCATCCTCCTGCCTCAGCCTGCTGAGTTGCTGGAACTACAGGCATGCGCCACCATGACCGGCTAACTTTTTCTATGTATATTAGTTGGCCAATTAATTTCTTTCTATTTATAGTAGAGATGGGGTCTCGCTCTTGCTCAGGCTGGTTTTGAACTCCTGACCTTGAGCAATCCTCCAGCCTCTGCTTCTCAGAGTGCTAGGATTACAGGCGTGAGCCACCACGCCCAGCCCGACTCTATTCTTTAAGTCACAGTACCATGTTGTCTCCTTAAATAAAAAAAGGCTGGGATGGGGAGAGGGAGGAAACAGTTAAACATCTTATATCTGAAAATATCAACCAGTAAATTGATTTCATTTGTCAATTGCTTTTAGTCATGCCACATAACGGTCCAAGATGGACTCACATATATAATGTTGGTCCCATAAGATTAGAATACCCTATTTTTACTATACCACTCAATGTTTAGACACACAAATACTCACCATTGTGTTATAATTCCTTAGAGCATTCAGTACAGTAACGTGCTGTGCGGGTGTGTAGCCCGGGAGCAGTAAGCTGGATCCCATAGCCCAGGTGTGCCATAGGCTGTAGCATCTAGGTTTGTGTAAGTGCACTCTGTGATTTTCGAACAAGGATAAAATCACCTAAAGAACAACACGTGAGCTGGGCTCGGTGGCTCACACCTGTAATCCTAGCACTCTGGCAGGCCGAGGTGGGCGGATCGATCAAGGTCAGGAGTTCGAAGCTAGCCTGAGCAAGAGCGAGACCCGTCTCTACTAAAAACAAATAGAAAGAAATTAATTGGCCAACTAAAAATATATAGAAAAAATTAGCCGGGCATGGTGGTGCACGCCTGTAGTCCCAGCTACTCGGGAGGCTGCGGCAGGAGGATGGCTTGAGCCCAGGAGTTTGAGACGGCACTCACTCTAGCCTGGGCAACAAAGCAAGACTCTGTCTCAAAAAAAAAAAAAAAAAAAAAAAAAAAAAAAGAACTAGGCTGACGCCATGGCACTCAATCTAGCCTGGCCAACAAAGCGAGACTCTGTCTCAAAATAAATAAATAAATAAAGTAGATGCTTATTGTTGTCTTCATTTTTCATCAGTCACAGAGATATTAGGATGTCTAACTTGGAACCCCAAATAAGAGTGAGGATTGGGATTCAATAGCTTTTAGGTTTACAGTTAAGTCTGCTAAGAACTGCTGTTTTAAGTCAGTTTTGAGATAAGTAACAAACATAAATTAGATGTTTAAGAAGTTAGTATAATTCTATGTCTAGTATTTCTTCCATAGCCACTGTTTCTCCTGTATTGCCGTAAGTACTTTAACTTGTTGTCACTTTATAGAAAGTCTTTGACAGTGAATATATGCCCATTTCAAAGCAAGAAAATCCAACAGAAATTTATCTTCCTTGGGCTTCTTCCAGGTTGGGAAGTTATTTTCCTTCTGTCCAGATGGAATTTTGATTGACAGGAGATTTAGAGAGGTCTCTCAATAGTTTATTAATTGTTTGAAGCAAGATTTGTTAGCGAAAAAAAAGTTTATTACTGGCCGGGCGAGGTGGCTCACGCCTGTAATCCTAGCTCTCTGGGAGGCCGAGGCGGGCGGATTGCTCGAGGTCAGGAGTTCGAAACCAGCCTGAGCAAGAGCGAGGCCCCGTCTCTATTATAAATAGAAAGAAATTAATTGGCCAACTAATATATATAGAAAAAATTAGCCGGGCATGGTGGCACATGCCTGTAGTCCCAGCTACTCGGGAGGCTGAGGCAGGAGGATGGCTTGAGCCAGGAGTTTGAGGTTGCTGTGAGCGAGGCTGACGCCATGGCACTCACGGTAGCCTGGGCAACAAAGTGAGACTCTGTCTCAAAAAAAAAAAAAGTTTATTACTGAATCTAATTTCCTTTATTTTATTCACACACACACACACATAAATATCAATTTAAGCTTGACATTTTAGGGGCTAATCATGTGAATACCAGATGCTAGATTCATTCTCAAACACAAAGTATGTAATAGAATGCAAAGCATATTTATACTGTACTACATTGCGAGCTCAAGCAGGGTATAGGCCTTTCTGATTAATTATTGGCAAAGTGGCACATTCGTGTGAGCAGAGGACAAGGTAGTGGAGAAAGGCTTTAAGAGAACCATAAGGCTTCGTGGAGAGCAGGAATCCCGCCCGCTGGTGTTTGTGCACGTCGGGGCTGCGGAGCTCGTTTCCCTCCAGCCGCCGCCCGCCTGCACCCCGCTCCGAGCACGCGGGAAGATGGCACGGACAGAGCTTGGGCTTTGATCTTACCCTCTCCGCTTCCTTACCTGTGGACGAGATGCGAGACCACTCAGCTGCAGCTGCACGCCCCTCCCCATGGTTAGGAAGACTCAATTACAAAAGAACTGTCAAGCGCCTGACATCGCAGGCGCACAGTCTGTGGGTCGCAGGGCACTGGCACGCGGCGGGCTGGCAAGGGGCAGTGTGTCCTCGCTGTGTCCGGCGTTGGTTTCTTCTGCCTGTGGCCGCCTTTCCCTGTCTGCTGCTGCTTAACAGCGCCTCTGCCACTGACAGGCCCAAAAATACAAAAAATGAGGGAATAAAACCAGTTGCCCTTTGACAGGGTAAATGGTGAAGTAAATTACTGAAACTAAGTTTAGGGATGACATGTGGATTTAGTTTTTGGTTACTACTTGTATTAGCATAAATAATTGAGAGTTGAATATATCTTCATCATCATCAGTAGCAACGTCGTCATTTTCCTCACGGACCTGATCACATGGGCCAGATTTTATACCATCAAAAACTGACCTACAGGCCGGGCACGGTGGCTCACGCCTGTAATCCTAGCACTCTGGAGGCTGAGGCAGGCAGATTGCTCTAGGTCAGGAGTTCGAAACCAGCCTGAGCAAGAGTGAGACCCCGTCTCTACTATAAATAGAAAGAAATTAATTGGCCAACTAATAGATATAGAAAAAAATTAGCCGGGCATGGTGGCGCATGCCTGTAGTCCCAGCTACTCAGGAGGCTGAGGCAGGAGGATCGCTTGAGCCCAGGAGTCTGAGGTTGCTGTGAGCGAGGCTGACACCACAGCACTCACTCTAGCCAGGGCAACAAAGCAAGACTCTGTCTCAAAAAAAGAAAAACAAAAAAAAACTGACCTATAAGCCAGGTTTGGCGGCACATGCCTGTAGTCTACTACTTGGGAAACTGAAGTCAAGGATCACTTCACGGCTGGTCAGACTGGACAACGTATTGAGAACCCCTTCACACTAAAATAAAAATAAATAAATAAATAAATAAATAAAAAACACCTGACCTATGACCCTTTCAGGACACCAATATTGACCCCTATTAAAACAAAATGAAAAACTACTAATGAAAAGTCCCCAGAGTTATTATTACCACATGTGGGTGAAATTTTTCCCAGAGAGAATTTACTGCAACTTGATTACAAACAAGATTCGTATTTTTCTCTAATTAGAACATTTGAGAAATTCCATGAACTATCCTTTTCCTGTCATCTCCCACATCTCCCTATTGCTGTTTCAGAAGCTTGGCCCTTGAGTTCACTGCCGTTATCACATTCCAAGTACAGCGTCTGTTCTGAACTCTGGAGATAACTGTCGTGAGACTGAGGACACGTCCTTTGTGAGGGGAGGCAGTTGATAAGACAGACTGAAGTTCCAATCCCAGCTCTGCCACTCTCCTTTTTGACCTTGGCCTGTCTCCTTATGCACGTGGTGGGGTGACATGGGATTGCCATCATGGTGCCTGGCGATGGCAGCTCGCCAGTAAATAAGCGTTGCTTCTCCTTTTACCCTCCACCCCCTTGGGGACTGTGGACACCTGTTTGTTGATAATCGTGCTGTCCCTTTCTTGTGTTTCAAGGACGCGCTGTTCGGGGAAGGCAGCAGCTTTGGGCTCACGAAGGACCCGTGTTATGTGGCCGGCCCTGTGTCTAGGTACGTCTGTGCTTGTAAACGCTGCTAGAGCTACCTTCCTTCTGCTCCTGCCCGTGAGAATCGCAAGGCTGTGTTGCGACAGTGCGTGCTGCCAGGCGCGTTTTTGGTCGGTGTAGGCCATGGAGAGCTTTTTAAAATTTATTTATAAATGGCTTTTCTCTGAGAATGATACTTGTTCAAAAGAGGTGTTGAATGTGTGCCCTTGAGGAAATGGTTGCAGTCTAACAAGTCTGTCGTCAGAGCGATGGCCACAGGCTCTCCTGCCGGCATGGGGGCCGTGGCTCCACCCCGGCCCTTGCGTGGCTGGTCTCTTCGTTCTGTGCGCAGAGGACCGAGTCTGGTGGCCTCAGTGCCAGGGCCTTTCGTTGGCAGCTTCACAAAGAAAAACTCACAGGAGGCATCTGGGGTGAAAAATAAAGTTCAAGATCATAATTATATGCAATAGGGATAGAAAGTAGCAGGAAAGTCATTTTAAAAACTTCCTATCAAAATCTTATCTCCTAAAGTGGAAAAATGTAATGGACCATGTTTTAGAATTTAATTTTTTTTTTTTTTTTTTGAGACAGAGCCTCACTCTGTTGTCTGGGCTACAGTGCCGTGGCGTCAGCCTCACTCACAGCAACCTCAGACTCCTGGGCTCAAGCGATCCTCCTGCCTCAACCTCCGAGTAGCTGGAACCACACAGGTACATGCCACCATGCCTGGCTAATTTTTTCTATTTTTGGTAGAGACAAGGTCTGGCTCTTGCTCAGGCTGGTCTCAAACTCCTGACCTTGAACGATCCACCCACCTCGGCCTCCCAGAGTGCTAGGATTACAGGTGTGAGCCACTGCACCCAGCCAAAATTTAAATTTTTGAAGTATTTACATAGGGCTTAATGAATAGAAATTTCCAAGGAAAGTCCTTGAACCACACGCTGTGTGTGTCGCTTTAAGGCGGCATTGTAGAGCTATCTACCATAATCTGTTATGACTAGTGATGATGCCCTTAAGCCCTCCGTGCTACTACCCATGCTTTCTCAAGCCAGTTCCTTAATTTTTCTTATATTTCATTCAATCATTGTTTCTCTTTCTGTATCCACCTTCTTAGTAACTCAATCTCATGCTGTCACAGAGAAGCAGCCAGGTCAGGAAGTGGATATTGAGTTACTCACTCTATAGCTAAGAGCAGCCTACCTTGGCGCTGTGCTCTTCCTCCTGTAGCTGTGGTGACAGGAAGAGAGAGAGTATCAGGGTGAGGCTGAGGACTTTGGTTAGTTTGGATGCATTTACTTAAAAGCTAGATGCCGGACACGGTGGCTCATGCCTAGCATTCTGGGAGGCCAAGGTGGGAGGATCACTCAAGGTCAGGAGTTCAAAACCAGCCTGAGCAAGAGCAAGACCCATCTCTACTATAAATAGAAATTAATTGGACAACTAAAAATATATCGAAAAAATTATCCAGGCATGGTGGCACATGCCTGTAGTCTCAGCTAGTTGGGAGGCTAAGGCAGGAGGATCGCTTGAGCCCAGGAGTTTGAGGTTTCTGTGAGCTAGGCTGATGCCATGACATGCACTCTAGCCTGGGCAACAGAGTGAGACTCTGTCTCAAAAAAAAAAAAAAAAAATAGAGACAAGGGAAAAGTAACAATGAACTGAGTACCACTAAGAGAGAGTTGTTCTAAAGTTAGAGGTGGGACTAAACCACAAGAAAAATCAAGTATAATCTTATTGATAAATGGGCAAAGGACTTGAATAGACGTTTTTTCAAAGATGGTAGACAAATGGCCAACACACATATGAAATGATGGTCAACACCACTGGTCCTCAGAGAAATGCAGATCAAAACCACAATCAAATATCACCTCATACCCCCTTAGGATGGCTACTATATATATAAAAAAAAACATCAAAAACTCAGAAAATCACAGTGCTGGCAAGGATGTAGTGAAATTGGAACCCTTGTGCCCTGTTAGTGGGAATGTAAAACGGTGCAACTGTGTGGAGAACAGCATGGAGGTTCCAATCAAAACCTTAAAAACAGAACTGCCATATGATTCAGCAATGCCATTTCTGAGAACGTATCCAAAAGAGTTGAAAGCAGGGTCTCGAAGAGACATTTGCACACCAGTATTTATGGCAGCACCGAATTGCCAACGGGTAGAAACAACCCAGATGCCCATTGACAGATGAATGGATAAGCTAAATGTACATACATGCAATGGAATATTATTCAGCCTTAAAAAGGAAGAAAACTGTCATATGCTACAAGAAGACATTATGTTAAGTGAGATGAACCATTCACACACACAAAAATCCTAGGCCGGGCGTGGTCTCAGGCCTGTAATCCTAGCACTCTGAGAGGCCGAGGCGGGCGGATCGCTTGAGCCCAGGAGCTTGAGGTTGCTGTGAGCTGGGTTGATGCCACGGGCACTCTAGCCTGGGCGACGCAGTGGGACTGTGCCTCAAAAAAAAAAATAAAGAAAAAGATATAATAAATAAAGGCATCCAAAAGTTGTTCACGGCCTGCTTGTAGCTCCGACTTGGGCGGTGCACGTGCGGCAGACGTGACGCAAAAGTCTGTACCCCCACAAAAATTCTGAGAAAAAGAGAAAAGCTAGTACTTCAGACTCATGGCCTGGGGTCTGGAGAGCAGCTGAGCAGAGAGACATGGTCTGTGCAGCAGGCGCCAGAAGGCCCTGCCAGCGAGCGGGGCACAGGTGGCCGGGCGGGGAGTGGGGAGCGCCCCTCGGAGAGCCTCTGCCCGCTCTGCACGTCCCCGCGGACGCGGGCGACGACGCTCCTGGACCGGCCCGCCCGGCTTGCCTGCACTCGGTGGTTTTGTGGCAGGCCCTGCACTGTCGCTGTGCCGCGGGTGAGCCAGAGGCCCCGCGGGATGGAAACGCCGTCCGCTCTCCAGATGCTCTGCACCGCCAGTCAGGGCACTACGGGTGGTGGTGGCTTTGCCAGCGGGCTCGCCCGTCCTCACGCCAGCCCTTGCGTGGCACGCGGCGCTGCAGACTCGCTCCCTTTGTCGGGGCACCCCTTTTCCTTTGCGACCAGCGCCCCAAGCTTCCGCGCTGCTGGGCGTTGCCGTGGCACCAGGCGGCGGCTCTCTATATCTCCGCGCCACCTTTCGCCACATTTGCTCGTGTTGTCAGCTCCTCCTCCCGAGGTGACTGCGCATTAGCTCCGGGGGTGAGACTCTCCCTCCTCCTCTTTCTTTTCCTTATTTTTTTTTTTTTTTAGACAGGGTCTCACTCTGTCACCCGGGCTAGAGTGCCGTGGCGTCAGCCTAGCTCACAGCAACCTCAGACTCCTGGGCTCAAGCCATCCTCCTGCCTCAGCCTCCCGAGTAGCTGGGACTACAGGCATGCGCCACCATGCCCGGCTAATTTTTTCTATATATTTTTAGTTGGCCTTTTAATTTTTTTCTATTTTTTTTAGTAGAGACGGGTCTCGCTCTTGCTGGTTTCAAACTCCTGACCTTGAGCAATCTGCCCGCCTCGGCCTCCCAGAGTGCTAGGATGACAGGCGTGAGCGCTGGGCCTGGCCTGCCTGCCCCTGTCTTCAGAGCCCTAACGCCCTTGTTTGTCCTGCTCCAGGTCGCCGGGCTGCTCAGAGAGAGGCAGCGAAGAGCTGCTCCCACTCCACCCTGGACCACGCTGGACCGGCTCCTCCGTCCCCAGCGAATGTCCTGGAGCCCTGGACCACCGGAGGCGGGCCAGCAGGACACCCTGCTGCTGGCCGGCGCGGCCAGGGGTGCCAGCGCAGCTCAGGGACACCAGGGTGCTGCCCGCACTCGGCTGCCCACTGCCCCCGCCTGCTCGGGCCAGCTGCGGCCCGGAGGAGGCTGCGAGCGATGAGGCAGGGAGCGACCAGGTGCCTGCAGGGCCCCCTGGGAGCAGCGGCTCCCGGCCCCAGCCCCCTGGGCCCAGAGGCTGTCAGGCCAGCAGCCCCGAGCTCGAGCTCATGGCTGCAGAGGGAGGAGGGAGCAGGAGGCTCTGGTGGCCTCCGCCTGCCCTGCAGGGGAAGGGGGTGCCCACGGGCGGAGAGGCCGGCCCTCCCGGGGACTCCTCGCCCCCCGAGGTTGAAGACCAGAGCCACTGTGGACAGCAGCAGCGATTTCCAAATCCGCACGGGGCTTGCGATCCCGCCGCGCCTCCCGCGGCCCCAGGGGTGCTCCCCTTGCGGGGCTCCCCGTCCCCGCCACGGGAGGACCAGGAGGACCAGGAGGACGACGTGTTCCTGAGGGACTCGCACCCCGTGGCCACCTGCAGCCCCACGCTGGGAGCCCCTCTGCTGCCTCCACTGAGCCAGGAGGCCAGGGTGGGCGGCCGCCCCGCGCCCCCCGCTGCAGCCCCGCTGGGCCTGGGGGGCCAGGAGGCGCCAGGCGCCAGGTGAGTGGACCCGCCGCGGGCACCAGCAGGACACTGCTGCCCCGCACCCGTCTCCTCCTGCTGGCCCCACGGGGCCCTGGCGTGGAGGTTTTGTGCACGCTGAGCTCACGAAACTGCTCGTTCGGTCGTTTGCCTGGGGAGGTGCCCAGTGGGTTCCGGGGGTGAGGGCTGAAAATGAAAGCCAAAGCCAAAAGCTACGTTTCACTTCTCTGGACACAATTGGCTCATGGGGTCCAAATAAATTTCTCTTGTCCAAGTTCTGAATCAGGTGAAAAAAAGGCAATAGAGGGAAGGCACAGAAGACAAGAATATCACTTTTATTACGGACAGAGCTGATACCGAAGAATATGGCTTTTTATCTGAACATGAGTATCAGGTCTCCTGTTGCTGAACCCCCAAATTAAACAGGCTTACCTCCCTAGTCAACACGCTCTGCTAGACACACACACACACACACACACACTCACACACACTCACACACACACTCACACACACTCACACACTCACACACACACTCACACACACTCACACACACACACTCACACACACACACACACACACACACACACACACACTCACACACACTCACACACACACACACACTCACACACACACTCACACACACACTCACACACACTCACACACACACTCACACACACTCACACACACACACTCACACACACTCACACACACACACACACACTCACACACACACACACTCACACACACACACACACCCTCGAGGCGGCCTCACTCCCAGAGGCCGGGCAGTGGACGGTCAGCTTCTCTTTCCGGAGTCACTCCACGCTCATAGGGAGGAATAAAGAGTAGACTGAAGGCCGGCGCGGTCGCTCACCTGTAACCCTAGCACTCTGGGAGGCTGAGGCAGGAGGATCACTCCAGCCCTGGAGTTCGAGGTGCTGTGAGCGAGGCTGACGCCACGGCACTCCAACCTGGGCAACAAAGCAGACTCTGTCTCAAAAAAAAAAAAAAGAGGTCAACTGAAGGTCAGCAGTGTTTGGGGCAACCTCTTCTTGGAAGCCAGAGAACGGGACGAAGCGCCCCCCAACACAGCACCAACACGGTGTCCAGTGCCACCTTTAGGGTGGCCTTCTCTGAATGCCAAAAGAGCGGCCGGCGACCACTAGCCTCTGTTCACCTAGACCTTTCAGAACACTCTGGGGTTCACGGCAGTCTTCCCTGAAACGGAAGCCTACGGCCCATCGTCCTTAGGAGACGGCGAGCCCTGGGACCAGCTCGCGGGCTCAGGGAAGGCCCTTCAGAGCGCCGCAGCTGGGGGTGCTAGTCTCAAACGGCCACCTCCCCCTGCGTCTCCTGTGGGGAGCGAGAGCCTCGGGCTTCCTCTTCCCCTCCTGGTCACCCTCCTTGTGACTCTTCTCACCACTTTCTCTCTCTGTCTTTGTCTCCCCAGCAAATTTCCCAAGGTGACGATGGCAAGGGAGAGGCACGTGCCTGGTGCGGCGTGTTTGGAAGGGAGCCAGATACTGGCTTCCACGCCCCAGACTTCCATCGAGGGTGTGCAGGCCAGTGAGCCCAGCCCCCCATCCGTCACGGGGGTTCAGCCTCGGCTGGCTGGGTCCCTCAGCCAGACTGAGAGCCTCAGCGGTGGTCCAGCGGGTGGGACTCGGGGCTTAGAAAAGAAAGTCAGTTCTGATCCTCCAAAGAGCTCCGAAGACATCAGAACAGAGGCTCTGGCCAAGGAAATCGCCCACCAAGACAGATCCCTGGCAGGCATTTTGGACCCAGACTCCAGAATGAAGACGACTTTGGACCTGATGGAAGGGCTGTTTCCCCGAGACAGTGAATTGCTGACAGAAGACAGCGTGAAGAGGAAGGCCCTGCCGAGAGCGGTCAGCTGCCCGGGCTGTGAATGCAACAGGTGAGTCCCTGGTAATGTCCCCAGAGAGACTTACAGTTTAGCCCCTTCCATGGGGCGATGACCAGGCCAGGCTGGTAGCTCCTTAAATAGCTACTCTGGGAAAGATGGAGAGTGGTTTTTCTTGTCCTGTCCGGTCCAGTGCCTGTCCTGGTCCTGGTCCTGTCTCACTCTGTTGCCTGGGCTAGAGTGCCGTGGCGTCAGCCTAGCTCACAGCAACCTCCGACTCCTGGGCTCAAGCGATCCTCCTGCCTCAGCCTCCCGAGTAGCTGGGACTACAGGCATGCGCCACCATGCTCAGCTAATTTTTTCTATATATTTTTAGTTGGCTGATTAATTTCATCCAATTTATAGTAGAGACAGGGTCTCGCTCTTGCTCAGGCTGGTCTTCAACTCCTGATTACAGACGTGAGCTACCGCACCCAGCCAAGCAAGAGTGGTTTTTATTTGCTTTTTTCATTTTCAATGAAAACTATGTGGATTGAACAGTTAGTGGCTTCCAGACTAAATAAGAACAGAGATCATTTCATCCTAACGTGGGCTTGCATTTTAGAAATTTCCAACTCATCCCACCTAAGTTACTCACAGGAGTACCACGTTTTGTTTTGGTGGAGGAGAGAGACAGGAAAGAGCTATGTAGTACTTGCAAGCTATTTGTTATGCTGTCAGCACTCTCCTAATTCATCATGGCGTCCATCCTCTTGTTTTTCAGATTTGGGAAACAGAGACAAGTTGAGGTGAGGGGACTTATCCAGGGTTACATGTTGTCAAACCCTAAGCACCTGCAGTGCACGGGACGATCCACCAGGTGCCATGGGCCGCAGTTGTGCTGCTTTGGGTGTGCCTGCCAGTTTGCGTGGGCGGTTGCACCACTCTCCTTACGTTCTCTGAGCACTTGCTGCAGAAGGACCAAAGTGATTTAGAAATGCATCCTTAGAAAAGGACTTTCCTACCATTACCATCAAGGATATATGTTCTTAGTCAATTCAGAAGCGAGATGGGACCGGGCGCAGTGGCTCCCTCCTGTAGTCCCAGCACTCTGGGAGGCTGAGGCAGGAGGGTCACCAGAGGTCAGTTGTTCTAAGACCTGTCTGGGCAAGAATAAGACCCCATCTCTACTAAAAATAGAAAACATTAGCCGGGAGTGGTTGTACACACCTGTAGTCCCAGTTCTTTGGGAGGCTGAGGAGGGGGATCGCTTAAACCCAGGAGTTTGAGGTTCCAGTGAGATAGGATGACGCCACAGCACTCTTGCCACCTCAGAAAAAAAAAAAGTGCGACGGTCACATAGCTTTTGCAGCAAAGGCCCTCCTGAGGACTTCAGAAGGGGCCACATGCCGTCTCTGGCGGAAGTTGCATGTCGGACTGCCAGCCAACAGCCGTTGTAAGGGTGACAAGCCCGGCAAGCCCGTCTGCAGTGCAATGGGTGTATCTGAAAACTAAAACAAAACAACGTGTATCAGACCTTTTTCATAATTTTTAATTTGCTGGATTAAATGTAGTTATATAGTTTAGAGGGACAGCCATCAAGCAGGAAGCTAGAAACAATTTTTTTGTGGTTCTTTATTCCATAGTAAAATGATGGGCTAAACATTAAATAATATCACACGATCAAACAGTTAATGCCTCTCCAAGAGAATCATCGACTCCCAGACAGTCATTTATCCACAGTGGGCAGCATTAGAACGACAGTCTGAAGTGCAGCTTGAGCACAGTAAAACAGAGAATATTAGATACCAATTTTCCCAATGCCTAATTTTTCATCCAGTCTTAAAACCCCCCGCCGTTTAATCAATGAGTAAATTTTACATCTTATGTTCACTGTGGACCGGCAAACTCTAGATTTCCCAGGCTTACATGGTGTATCAGGCTTACCCGAGAAGGAAAATTGGTACGTGTCCTTGGTATGGGTAACCAAGGAAGTGCAGGAAATAATTAACCTAAAACCGGAGATTTGTGCAGCACCTTGGACACACTTTCACGTCAATCGAGCGTGGCTGTTCATTGCCTTTCTGTGAGATACGGAGTCAGTGTCATTCTCACGTTGATCCCAGAAGGAAAAACACTCGGAGAGGTTGCGTGTTCCACCCAGAGTCCGCTGGAAGGCTGCGGCCCGCCCCCAGCCCCATCCACAGTACTGCTTTCTAGCCCACGCTTGCCTGGCTTTACCAGGCGGGTACATAATAATCACTCTTTTTGTTTGTTTGTTTGAGACAGAGTCTCACTGTGTTGCCTGGGCTAGGGTGTTGTGGTGTCAGCCTCGCTCACAGCAACCTCAAACTCCTGGGCTCAAGCGATCCTCCTGCCTCAGCCTCCCGAGTAGCTGGGACTACAGGCATGCACCACCATGCCCGGCTGATTTTTTCTATATATTTTTAGTTGGCCAAGTAATTTCTTTCTATTTTTAGTAGAGACGGGGTCTTGCTCTTGCTCAGGCTGCTTTTGAACTCTTGACCTCCCAGACTGCTAGGATTACAAGCATGAGCCACCACACCTGATACATAATAATCACTCTTTAATAAATAGTTACTAATTCATATGATTTCTGAGAAAGAGATTAAATAGAATTTTACGCATTTCTGAGTGGACAGACGTCTGCGGTGGAACGAAGCTTCTGGTCAGTGATGTGTGGCTGTACCTTGTGTCCTCTGTGGTCCAGGAGCGGAGACCTGGAGGCGGCGTGTGTGCTGGTCTACTGCCCTGCCTACTGCGGCGTGGCTGCTCCCAAGGCTGAGCTTCTGGACAAGGTCGAGCAGATGCCCGTAGGAGGGAATGAGGAAGAGGAACAGGCAGATGTCAATGAAAAGAAGGTAAATAAAGAAAGGGGGTGCACAGGCGCGGTGGCTCACGCCTGTAATCCTACCACTCTGGGAAGCCAAGGCGGGAGGATCACTCGAGGTCAGGAGTTCGAGACCAGCCTGAGCAAGAGCAAGATCTCGTCTCCGCCGGGCACGGTGGCTCACGCCTGTAATCCTAGCACTCTGGGAGGCCAAGGCGGGCGGATTGCTCGAGATAAGGAGTTGGAAACCAGCCTGAGCAAGAGCAAGACCCCATCTCTCCTATAAATAGAAAGAAATTAATTGGCCAACAAATATATAGAGAAAAAATTAGCCGGGCATGGTGGCGCATGCCTGTAGTCCCAGCTACTCGGGAGGCTGAGGCAGGAGGATTGCTTGAGCCCAGGAGGTTGAGGTTGCTGTGAGCTAGGCTGATGCCACGGCATTCTAGCCCAGAGAACAGAGTGAGACTGTCTGGAAAAAAAAAAAAAAAAACTTGCCAAATTTAGAAAATACCAAAGGCAGGCCGTGAATGGTGGGAGATGAAGTTGGGAGCATTAACAAGGGCCAGAAGGTCACAAGGTCACATAACTTTGAGTGAAATGCTGAAGTTTGGATTTTATCACGTGTCAGTGGAAAACCCTTTGAGAATTTTTGTGTTAATGAAATGCTAGTTACACTCGTGTAATACATTTTCAGTAGTGTCACATTTGTACATCTGATTTGGAAACATTAGCTTTAACATTAGCTAAAACATTAGCTTTAAACCATAATGAAGGCCAGGCAAGGTGGCGCATGCCTGTAGTCCCAGCTACTCGGGAGGCTAAGGCAGGAGGATCGCCTGAGGCCGGGAGTTTGAGGTTGCGGTGAGCCAGGCTGACACCATGGCACTCACTCTAGCCTGGGCAACAAAGTGAGACTCTGTCTCAAAAAACAAACAAACAAAAAAAATAAAAGTAAACCATAATAAAAGCATCTGTTAAAATACTCAGCGTAAGGTTGAAAATGTAATTTTCTTCCTGATGCACAAGCTTTTCTAATGATGGTTAAAGATACGATGCTCGGTCAATATATTCATTCCCCAAAATTGTTCCAATGCAGAATATAGCCTTCTGCCAACTTTTGCAAAGTAATAATTTGTTCTCTAATATTTAGATTTGTTATCTAATATATAAATAACTTAGGATATATTTCTAGGCATGCAACTCAGTCAATGGAAACTAGAGTTTTGGTTTTTAAATAAGTATTTTAAAATTTGCAAATAGCATTTAAATTAGTTCTACTTTGATATATTTTCTATTTATCCTACATGATAAATATATTCCAAGTAAGTATTACTAAAATATGAAACACTTTCATTGTCTGAACTTCTGGCATACATAAAAACTAAGGGCAATGTAATGTAACCGTAATACAACTTCCATTCTTTGGCTAAATCCTGCCATATCTATTAAGGAAAATTCTAAACCTATCACATGATTCCTTCATCTGCAGGCCAAAAGACTTTGGCTCCAAAGACTTAGAGAAATAATTCAAGAGACAAAAAGAATCTGTTGTTCCTTGGAACTGCCTTTCTTCAAGAGATCACGTGGGAGCCTCCGGTTCTCAGCTGCCCTCTGTTGTTCCTCCTTCATGCCTGAAGTTCCAGGTCTTACTTCCTCTCGACATGGAAATGGCCTTTAGTATTTCTTTTAGAATAGGTCTGCTGGTGACAGTTTCTTTCAGTTTTCCTCATCTAAGAATGTCTTTATTTCCACTGGATATGGAATTCTGGGTTAACTGTTCTTTTCTTTCAGTGCTTACAAACTTTCTTCTTGCTTCCATGGTTTCTGATGGAAAATACACAGTCATTTAAATGTTTATGCCTGCATTGTGCAATGTGTTTTTCTTCCCTGGCTGCCCTCTTTACTTTCCAGTGTTTTGTTTATGACGTTTATGGGCCTGATTTTTTTTGTTTTTTTTTTTTTTTGAGACAGAGTCTCGCTTTGTTTCCCAGGCTAGAGTGAGTGCCATGGCATCAGCCTAGCTCACAGCAACCTCAAACTCCTAGGGTCAAGTGATCCTCCTGCCTCAGCCTCCCAAGTAGCTGGGACTACAGGCATGCGCCACCACGCCCAGCTAATTTTTTCTATATATATTAGTTAGCCAATTAATTTCTTTCTATTTAGAGATGGGGTCTCACTCTTACTCAGGCTGGTTTTGAACTCCTGACCTCAAGCAATCCACCCTCCTCGGCCTCCCAGAGTGCTAGGATTATAGGCGTGAGCCACCGGACCCGGCCTGGGCCTGGTTTTCTTTGAGTTTATCCTATTTGGGGTTTGCTGGTCCTTCTTTTTACCTTTTTTTTTTTTTGAGACAGAGTCTCACTCTGTTGCCCAGCTAGAGTGCCGTGGCGTCAGCCTAGCTCATAGCAACTTCAGATTCCTGGGCTCAAGCGATCCTCCTGCCTCAGCCTCCCGAGTAGCTGGGACTACAGGCATGCGCCACCATGCCTGGCTAATTTTTTCTATATATTTTTAGTTGGCCTATTAATTTCATTTCTATTTTTAGTAGAGGATGGGGTCTCGCTTTTGCTCAGGCTGGTTTCCAACTCCTTGAGCGATCTGCCCGCCTAGGCCTCCCAGAGTGCAAGGATTGCAGGTGTGAGCCAAAACACCTGGCCTGCTGGCCCTTCTTGATTCTGTAAACGTATGTCTTACATCAAATTATGGACGTTTTCAGCCATTATGTCTTCAAATTTTTTGCGCACATTGCTGTCTCCTCAGGATTCCAGTGACAATATTAGACCTGTTCATGTTGCGCCACAAGTCCCTGGAGCTCTGTTCGTTTTTGTTGTTGTTGTTGTTGTTTTAGTCTGTTTGCTTTCAGTTCTACAGATTGCATAATTTCTATTGGTCTGTCTTCTAGTTCACTGACTTTCCTATCTCCATCCTGCCAGTGATTTTTTTTTTTAATTTAAAATATTATAGTTTTCAGTTCTAAAATTTCCATTTGGCTCTCTTTTCATTTCAAAAGTGTTTACTTTTATTGTGGAACATGGTTATAAAAGCTGTCTTAAAGACTTTGGTCATCCCAGCATCTGGGTGATCACAGTGTTAGCACTTGTTGATTGATTTGCCTTTTCTCCTGAGAATCGGTCATTTTACTGGTTCTTTGTATATGGGGTGATTTTGTGTTGTATTCTGAACATTTTGAATATGATGTTGTGAGACTCTGGGTCCTGTTAAATCCTCTTAAGGAATGTTGATGATGTTTTGCTTCAGCAGGCAGTCAGCCTTGTTAGGTTCAGCCCGAGAGTTCTGTGTCACCCTCGGGTGACAGTTCCGATGTCAGTTCCATTTTCAGAGACTTTGCCATGTTGTGCCAGTCTGTCCCGTGTGTGCCCCTTCCAGGGGTTGGTCTGCACCTGCGTGCAGCTTGAAGGTGAGCCTGGGACTTGTGTCGTCTGTGCACAGAACTGGGGCATCTTTCCCTGCGCTGCCCTGTCCACTGTGACGCCCACGCTCCCAGGGGCCCCTTTTCCTAATGCTCCAGCTAGAGACACAGGTGCCCGTGGTGTCAGAGCAGCCTGTGTGACCAGGACCACCCTCCTTGGAAAAGAGGCAAAAAGTAATGGGTCCCTTCCCCCAGTCCTCGACCAGAAAGAAGGGCTTTCTCTTGGGGTTCCAGGTGCCTGTGCATGCAGCTCTGGGGGGGCATAGAACAGGCTTTCTGTCACACTCCGGCTCACAGGGTCCCTTCCTCGTCCCTGGTTTTAAGGCAGGGATTTCTCAGATTTTGCTGCACACCCAATGGGTGGCTCTGCACTGGGGTCAGCTTCAGGTCAGAGGTAGGACATAAAAGAGGGGAGAAAAAACACAGGCAGCTACACCCCATCATGGGTTGCACTTGAGGGTTGACTCCCCTCCGCAGTCACTGCTCTGGTTAACTTTCCAGAGACTTCTTCAGGATCCAGGGAGTTCAGTCATAAAGAGTGGGGGAGGGGCTCAGTGGGCTCGTGCCCCCCAGAGTTTATCAGCAGCCAGAGCGTCCTGGCAGAGTTGCATTTAAGAGACGTCACTCTGAGGCCGGGCGTGGGGGCTCACGCCTGTAATCCTAGCACTCTGGGAGGCCGAGGAGGGAGGATCACTCGAGGTCAGGAGTTGGAGACTAGCCTGAGCAAGAGCGAGACCCTGTCTCTACTAAAAATACAAAGAAATCAATTGGCCAGCTAAAAGTATATAGAAAAAATTAGCCGGGCATGGTGGCGCATGCCTGTAGTCCCAGCTACTCGGGAGGCTGAGGCAGGAGGATCACTTGAGCCCGGAGACTGAGGTTGCTGTGAGCAAGGCTGACGCCACGGCACTCTAGCCCAGGCAACACAGAGCCAGATTCGGTCTCAAAGAAAAAAAAAAAAGAAAAAGAGCCACTCTTGGCAGAGAACGTGCCAGGGAATATGTGAATAGCAGCCTGGTGCCCGCAGCCTTTGTGTGGCCGGCACCGGCGAGGGAGAGGGAGGAGGTTTCACTCAGGTGCCGCGCTCTCCCCGGGCGACGCGGCTGAGGACCCCGCACCAGCTGAGGACCCCGCGCCAGCCTCTCCCGTGTCGGAGCGAAGGAAGCAACGGCAAAGCCCATGCGGCCGGCAGCTTTCTCTGGCCCGCGGCCTGGCAGCCCCGCGCCACCGGCCCCGCGCGCCCTGAGCGCCACCTGCACACAGAGGCCGCGGGCGCGGGTTCGGGTGCCGAGGGCCACGGGCGCGGGTTCGGGTGCCGAGGGCCGTGGGTTCGGGTGCCAAGGGCCACGGGCGCGGGTTCGGGTGCCGAGGGCCGCGGGTTCGGGTGCCGAGGGCCGCGGGTTCGGGTGCCGAGGGCCGCGGGCTCGGGTGCCGAGGGCCGCGGGCTCGGGTGCCGAGGGCCGCGGGCTCGGGTCCGCAACGGAGCCGGCTCGGGCGCAGGGCCCGCCGGCGAGTGCCCGGGGGCGCGGCTCGGGCCGAGGGCGCCGGATCGGTGCCGAGGGCAGCGGCGGGGGCGCGGGCGCAGGAGATCGGGTGCGAGCGCGGTATCGGTGCGAGGCGCGGTTCTGCCGAGGGCCGCGGGATCGGGTGCCGAGGGCCGCGGGTTCGGGTGCCGAGGGCCGCGGGCTCGGGTTCGGGTGCCGAGGGCCGCGGGTTCGGGTGCCGAGGGCCGCGGGTTCGGGTGCCGAGGGCCGCGGGTTCGGGTGCCGAGGGCCGCGGGTTCGGGTGCCGAGGGCCGCGGGCTCGGGTTCGGGTGCTGAGGGCCGTGGGTTCGGGTGCAGAGGGCCGCGGGCTCGGGTTCGGGTGCAGAGGGCCGCGGGTTCGGGTGCAGAGGGCCGCGGGTTCGGGTGCCGAGGGCCGCGGGTTCGGGTGCCGAGGGCCGCGGGCGCGGGGAAGCTGCGAGCTCCCTTACCGGGGCCTGCTGAAAACATTGGCGTGTGGCTTCGCGTCGCCACCTGCCTGCGGTGGCACACAGACTCAGACGCAGGGCACGCTCTCATGCTTTCCCCGGTGTGCGCACCAGCCGTTCCCTTGGGCCTCCTAACACTCTCCTGAGCTGTTCTGGCACAGTGATAAAGGCCGAGCGCCGAGGAAGCCGATGCTCGACTTTCAGGCCCGGCCCTGCCGCTTACGAGCCGTGCGGGCGTGGGCCAGCTAGACAGCCTCTGTCTGCCTCACCTTCTTCATCAGTGAAACGGGACAGAAATAATACCTATCTCACTGGATTCTTGTAGGTAGTAACTGAATAGTGGAACGTTTAAATGGTCTCACCGTCCCTCCCGCCTCCGCAGGCCGAGCTCGTCGGGAGCCTCGTGCGCAGGCTCCAGGGCCTCCAGGAGGCGAGGGCCAGGCTGCTCAGCGACACCCAGCGCAACAACGCCCTGGGGGAGCAGGTGGAGGCTCTGGTCAGCGAGCGCTGCAAGCCCAACGAGCTCGACAAGTACAGGATGTTCGTGGGGGACCTGGGCAAGGTGGTGAACCTGCTGCTCTCCCTCTCGGGGCGCCTGGCCCGCGTGGAGAACGTCCTCAGCAGCCTGGGCGAGGATGCCAGCAGGGAGGAAAGGGTAAGTGGCCTGGCATGTCCTTCCCCTGAGTTACACACACACAGAGTTGCCACTGGACACATCTCTCTCGTAAGAAGATCTGGGTAAGGCCGGGCCCGGTGGCTCACGCCTGTAACCCTAGCACTCTGGGAGGCCGAGGTGGGAGGTTCACTCAAGGTCAGGAGTTGACCTGAGCAAGAGCGAGACCCCGTCTCTACTGTAAATAGAAAGAAATGAATTGGCCAACTAATATATATAGAAAAAATTAGCCAGGCATGGTGGCACATGCAGGAGGATCGCTTGAGCCCAGGAGTTTGAGGTTGTGAGCTAGACTGAGGCCACGGCACTCTAGCCCAAGCAACAGAGTGAGACTCTGTCTCAGAAAAATAAATAAAGAAGATTTGGGGCGATCTTGTCCCGAAGATTTGAAGCTGTGTCTCTGGGGCACGGAGAGAACATAGCGTGTAGATGACAGGAGGCCGAGAAGAAGGTGCGGCGCTTAAGGCTCAGGGAATACTTGGGAAGGTGAGAGCACTGGTGCTGGCCTTTCTTCCTCCCAGTTGTCTTCCTCCGCTTCTCTCCCCAAAGAAACAGAAGCAGGGTGGGCATTCGCCGTGAAACAAGGAGAGGGACGACAGGACTGCAGGATCGGGAAGGGCAGGCACAGGCCCCCGCCGGCCACTGGGAGGAGGCGGCGGGCAGCGGCCGCGGCCTCCCGGCAGAGCAGCGAGTGTGCACCGGGAGTCCTGGCTGCAGACCCCAGGTGCTGTTTTTCTGTTTTGTTTTGTTTTTGAGACAGAGCTCACTCTGTTGCCCAGGCTAGAGTGAGTGCCGTGGCGTCAGCCTCGCTCACAGCAACCTCAATCTCCTGGGCTCAAGCGATCCTCCTGCTTCAGCCTCCCGAGTAGCTGGGACTACAGGCATGTGCCACCTTGCCCGGCTAATTTTTCTATATATTTTTAGTTGTCCAGATAATTTCTATTTTTTTTAGTAGAGACGGGTCTCGCTCTTGCTCAGGCTGGTCTCAAACTCCTAACCTTGAGTGGTCCTCCCTCCTCGGCCTCCTAGAGTGCTAGGGCTGCGGGCGTGAGCCGCGGCGCCCGGCTCCTCCTCAGAGTTTCTGGCTGCAGAGGGTGGAATGGGGCCTGGACCTTCCTGTTTCCAACGCGCTCGGCGCTGCCACCGCTCGGGCGACCGCGCCTTGAGGCCCCGTGTTAAAATACTCCAGGGCCCTTGGTGCCCGTCGTAGGTCCGGAGCGGCCAAGTCAGGCCATGCCCTCATTTTAGCCCTTCTCCACTGAGGCCACCATGCGCCTTCACAAGTTAGAGGACAGCACAATATGGAACTCGAAGGGCAGAGAGCTGACTCTTCAAAGAGCCGCCTCACTCGAGGGCGGCGGTCGGGGTAGAAGCGGGGGCGTTCCGCGGCCCGCGGGGCCTTCTTGTGGGCCGTGGCCCGTCCCCTCCCTGCCCGGCCGCCGCTGACCTGCAGTCTCCCCGCAGCGCTCGCTGGACGAGAAGAGGAGGGCCCTGGCGGGGCAGCACGCGGACGCCCGGGAGCTCAAGGAGAACCTGGACCGCAGGGGCGGCGCGGTGCTGGGCGTCCTGGCCGGCCGCCTGTCGCGCGCCCAGCTGCAGGACTACCAGCGCTTCGTGAGGATGAAGCCCGCGCTGCTCATCGCGCGCCGCGAGCTGGACGACGAGATCGCGCTGGGCCGCGAGCAGGTCCGCTGTCTGCTGCAGAGCCTGCCGCCCGGCTTCGTGCCCGCCGCGGGGGCCCTGGCGCTGCCCCCCGACCTCGCGCGCGAGGCCCCTCCGGCCGGGGCTGCGCCCTGAGCGGCACCTTGCTGCCCGCGCCCGCTCACCCTCCGCGGCGCCCCAGCCCGCAGGACTGCGCCGTGTGGCGGGCCGCCGTCCGCTGTCCCGCCCGTGGGGTCGGGCCGCCGCCGCTGTCGCCCGTGGGCTCCGGGCCGCCCGTCTGCTGTCGCTGTCCGCTCGTCGGGTGGGCGCCGTCCGCCTGTCCGCGTGGGGCCTCCGGCGCGTCCACGTCCGCCCGTGGGCTCCGGACGCCGTCCGCTGTCCGCTGTCCGCCCGTGGGGCTCGGCCCCGCCCGCTTCCCCGTGGACTCCGGGACCCCGGCGCCTCCCTTGTCCCGCCGTGGGTGCGGACGCGTCCGCTGTCCGCTGTCCGCCCGTGGGGCTCCGGGCCGCCGTCCGCTGTCCGCCCGTGGGGCTCCGGGCCGCCGTCCGCTGTCGCCCTCGGGGCCTCGGACGCCCGCCGCCGTCCGCTGCCCGCCGTGGGCCATCGGACGCCGTCCCGCCCTGTCCGCTGTCCGCCCGTGGGGCCCCGGCAGCGTCCCTTCCGCCCGTGGGCTCGGCGCCGTCGCTGTCCGCCCCGTGGCCTCCGGGACCGCTCCCTGTTCCGCATGTCGCCCCGTAGGGTCCGGAACGCGCGCCGCTGTCCGCCGCAGGGTCCGGACGAGCCGCGCCGCGCTGTCGCGTGGGCTCGGACGCCTCCCTGTCCGCTGTCTCCCCGTGGCTCGGGCGACCGTCGCCTGTCCCCCGTGGGGGCTCCGGCGGCGTCCGCTGTCGCGTGGGTCCGGCCGCCGGCCTGTCCGGCCGTGGGCTCGGCCGCCGTCCCGTCGCCCCGTGGGGCTCCGGGCTGCCGGGCGCGGCCAGGAGCGAGGCGGTGCGTGAGACTGAGAACTGGCTGGGGCCCGACCCACCGTTTGTAACAGGCGGCGCGACAGACAGCAGCGCCCGCGGGGTGCGGGCGGCACCAGGTACGGACCTCCTGCAACGTGCCAGGCCTTACAGAGACGCACGCTCGCAGGGAAGAAAATCGTGAAAGCTTGAACGTTATTTATATTTTTAAAAATGAAAAGATCACTACGTCGGTGTGCTCGCCACTTACTTGAGTCTGCCTTGCGTGTCTTGCGGAGGGCGCAGACGTGATGCTGGCGCTCTGCACTCCGCGAAGCCCTTGATGGAATGAAGAGCTCCAAAGGCGGCTCTGGCCGAGCCCGCTTGCTCGGACGGCCGGCTCGCCCGCGCGGTGGGCGCCCTGCTCCCCGCCGTCCTCCCCGCCGCGCCTGCGCGCCTTCCCCAGGAGGAAGGCCTCGTGCGCCCTGGCTACGGCGCCACCCTCGACTGCTCCATGTCCCTGTCACCGGTGGTGTGCAGTGAAGCCAGATTCGTTAGCAAGCACTGTCACGCCTGTCCAGCAGGAGGAGGCAGTCCAGATCCAAGCCAGCTCAAACCGGATTCCAGGCTGCGCTCCAGTTCGGGGCTGAGGCCCACAGTGCCCTATTCCGTGAGAGGTGTAATCAAGCTGTTTTAATGATGCCTTTTAAAAAAGGTTTTTTCCTAAACATCAAACCCATCAACCACACTTTGATTTAAAAACTCCCTCTTTAAAAACCTCTGAAGGCTGATTTTGCACGATGGTGTTGCAATAATAAGATCTCAGAGGGCACACGCTATCTCTAATTTTAAGTCTATTAAAACCAACTGGAGACCAGGTGTGGTGGCTCATGCCTGTAATTCTAGCACTCTGGGAGGCCGAGGTGGGAGGATTGTTTGAGCTCAGGAGTTCGAGACCAGCCTGAGCAGGAGCGAGACCCCATCTCTACTAAAAATATATAGAAAAAAATTAGCTGGGCATGGTGGCACGTGGCTGTAGTCCCAGCGACTTGGGAGGCTGAGGCAGCAGGATTGCTTGAGCCCAGGAGTCAGGTTGCTGTGAGCTAGGCTGATGCCACAGCACTCCAGCCCATGCAACACAGTGAGACTCCCTCAAAAAAAAAAAAAAAAAACTGGAGAGATGAGGAGGTAATGGACTAGTGGCCAGGCTAAGGTAGTAGCCCCTAGAGATAGCGACAGCCTGACTCTGAGCAGGCAGCACGTCTGGGCTGTGCTTAGGCTGTCTGGGCCTGGTCTGTGGCTGGCGGCCCCTCTGCTGATTTGGGCTTAGGAGTGTCATAGCACCCAGTAACAGAAAATTAGGAGAGTAAAATTTATAGCTAAAAACAAATGCCCTTTGTTCTTCAGTACACGTAATGAAATTTCATCTTAAGATGAAATTAAGAATGTAAAAACTATACATCAGTAGTTTTGGTCCCCAACACAGCTTAACACCAATAGGCCACCCAGAAGCTTGTGAGCAGTCCCCCAAAGCCCCTGCCTTGTCCTCTGAGCGCACACCTGTGCGACCGCGCTGACTCAGGTAAGACAGCCTCTCGGGTTCCCGGGAGTGTTTTCAGAAACTGCTCTCACTCAGCGGTCCAGGGGATCAGTGGCAGCCGTGACAGCGGTCAGCAGCCAACCAGGTGGTCATTGGACCTTGGCGAGCGTGGCGGCTGCAGCTCACTGCAGCTGTCGCCGCCTGTGTGTGCGCTGACAGCAGCCCGGCGGAAGCCGCCAGGAAAGGCCACGCTGCTCGTGGTGAGACCCTCAGAGGGAGTCTGGCTCTCCCAGCCCCGACACTCTGCCACGTGACGATTCTTCAGGGTTTGACTGGGGAACATTTTCCACATTCGTTCTTTCTCAACAACTTTCCTCATTTGCACATGTGACAGTAAGTGACCTCCCAGGGCAGAGTGACAGGCATGCCACAAGCACCTGGACACTTAAGACACTACTGGGATCTCACCGTTCTGTCATGGCACCGGAATGTGCTGGTACGTAAAATGAGCTCGGTACCAAGTGGGGCTTTGAAATCGAATTCTTGGGCTGACGTGATATTTACTGTAGCAGAATTGGACCTCTGTGCTGTGAAGAAATCGACCCAACTTTCCAAGCTTACTTTAAATGCCTTTAGCTAGAAAAGAAACCTATGTATTTATGCTTTCCCATTTTGCATTCTTCTCCCACTATTAAAAAATATCATGTCTAGGCTGGGCGCAGTGGCTCACACCTGTCATCCTGGCACTCTGGGAGGCAGAGGGGGGAGGATTATTTGAGCTCAAGGAGTTCGAAACCAGCCTGAGCAAGAGCAAGACTCCATCTCTACTGTAAATAGAAAGAAATTAATTGGACAACTAAAAATATATATAGAAAAAACTTAGCCGGGCGTGGTGGCGCATGCCTGTAGTCCCAGCTACTCGGGAGGCTGAGGCAGGAGGATCGCTTGAGCCCAGGAGTTGGAGGTTGCTGTGAGCGAGGCTGACGCCACGGCACTCTAGCCCTGGCAACAGAGTGGGACTCTGTCTCAAAAAAGAAAAACAATCATGTCCAGTAGAAACCACCGTTCTTCCAATAATATTTCCTGCCAAGATCCCGAGAACGGCACTCAGGAGCGCGTGGCTGGTCAGGGCTTCGAGACGGGTGGCGTCACTGGCGTGCTGGCTCAGGTCAGGGACGACTCGCCCTGTGCATGTGGCCGGTTTGGGGACGCGCCACCCTCAGCAGCTCGGTGAGACAGCGTCGTGATGCCCCCAGTGCAGGCACTCCAGGACCCTTGGACGTCCCAGAAAAGGTCGCTATCTAAGTCCAGAGGAGGACAGTGTCCTGTGCCCCATCGGGAAGCCGCCACTTTTGGGTCACGTGAGAAGTCCCTGGGCATGCTGCTACGTGTTTGTTGATTCAGCCTTTTTTTTTTTTTTTTTTGCTTTTTTTATATATATATTTTTAATGTTCTTCAATCCTCTGATGACTCAACCTTTTTTTAATGCTGTTTTGTTTCTTGTGGTGGCTGCTTAGCCCCAAAGAATGCCGGGAGAATTCATAGTGAAAGTGTCCAAGCTTCTGTAAGAGGCACTGTGGAAACCAAACGCTTTTTCCTTTTGCTCCAGGGGAACATTTCAGGTTTGGTTTTGCACAGCTGATTTCCAGACTTGCATATCAGCAAGTTTGGGTCAACCCCTAAGAATCAGTGGCTGTCCTTTGAGGTGAGGAATAAGGGTTTGGCTGAGGTCCCTTGAGGGATATAAAGGACAAACAGCCTGGGACGTGGCAGTTTTCCTATCACTCCCTGGTTAATAGCTGATCTAAAAATCACTGAGTTTAAAAGGTAAATATATGCTATGAGCTCTACCTTTAAATTTGTATATTGTTTAAGCATCTTTTATTAAGATATTGGTTTTTTGGCCAGGCGTGGTGGCTCACACCTGTAATCCTGGCACTCTGGGAGGCCGAGGCGGGCGGATTGTTTGAATTTAGGAGTTCAAGACCAGCCTGAGCAAGAGCGAGACCCCGTCTCTACTAAAAATAAAAATAAATTATTTGGCGAACTAAAAATATATATAATAAAACTAGCCAGGCATGGCGGCGCATGCCTGTAGTCCCTGCTACTCGGGAGGCTGAGGCAGGAGGATCCCCTGAGCCCAGGAGTTTGAGGTTGCTGTGAGCGAGGCTGACACCACGGCACTCTAGTCCGGGCAACAGAGTGAGACTCTGTCTCAAAAAAAAAAAGTATATATATATATATATATAAATATGTTGGTTTTTTTCTGGATCCCTAGGAAAACGTTGGCATTTTATTCTTATAAGTTTCCAAATTTATTTCTCGTTAGTTTAATTGTTCATGATAATACTGGCTTTATTCTGTTAGGTTTGAATTATTATTATTTTTAGAAAACATCAGGGGGGTTTTTTTGTTGCGTTTTTTTTTTTTTTTTTTTTTTTTTGAGACAGTCTCACTCTGTTGCCCAGGCTAGAGTGCTATGGCGTCAGCCTAACTCACAGCAACCTCAGACTCCTGGGCTCAAGCCATCCTCCTGCCTCAGCCTCCCAAGTAGCTGGGACTATAGGCATGTGCCACCATGCCCGGCTAATTTTTTTTATATATTTTTAGTTGTCCAGCTAATTTCTTTCTATTTTTAGTAGAGACAGGGTCTA